AATTTGGGAATTTATGATTTTTAAATAATTTTTTGCTCGTATTTGATGGCTATTTCACTATAATGGTGTATATTGATTTTAATTTCTTAGTGTTATAGTATAATGGGTATTATGCTTTAAAGACCTTACCAGGCAAATACTTCGACCAACTTTCACTGAAAACTCAAAAAAATAAAGTGTAAAGGCGTATAAAACAAAGTTGATCCTCCGTTACAAATTTTTTGCTATCTAGCTGCCAATTTGTATCTTTCGCATTTAATACTTTCTGATTTTTTCATGACCTCTCTACTACCAAGTACTAGAAAACATTTGGTATATGGCTACCTAGTGTCTCGTGGCTACCTTTCGGCACGACCAAATTACCAACCTGTGCGTATGTATGTACCTGTTCACATTTGCATACACATTTATCTATGCGTTGAATATCTGCACAGCATTTTAATGTTCACCGAACATTTACGTCGTATGTAACTTGATCTCTTAAGATTTATAGCTCGCACAGCTGTTGGTGGTGCCAGGGTAAAATATTATGCAATCGCATTAGCGACTGTTAACAATTTAAACATTTCGCTAATTTTTGGCCATTCGAGCAGCATGCGACAAATCCGGCACGTGCGCATTTACACAGACCACCTAAACCTATACTACTCATTAAAAAAGTAGTTGATATGCATGCCCACTGCATACTTAAACTTTTAAATGCTTTCAGCTATTGCTGATCGATTTCCATTAGACAAGTAGAAAGGTGAAAGTTTGGCTTTTGGTTCTTTCAATTTTTATTTGTATGGCATGATTGTTTGTTCGTACGCTACTGCGCTTACCCCTTAAGCGTTAACGCAATTGGTTTATGACAGCAAATAGGCAATATTCACACTCGTAATTACAATCATTTACACCTTGTGTATCTCTCTTTTTACTTCGCTCTATGCAGCTATGCATATTTATAAACATATTTTCCTTTTTATTTATAGTAATTTATTTATATATTCGCTTAAAAAAATTGTGAAGTGAAGTTGTCAATTAGTAGTTTGTTGTTTGCCACGAATATTTTCTTGCTGATACTCTCGCATTTTCAACTGTTGGTAATTATGCAATTTGTGTTGTTATTGAGTTTTTTTTTGTGTTTAATTACAACTAAGTTTAATTGTCTCAGCAACGTGTAACAAGCACTGGCGACCTACGGCAGCACAATCCGCCTCTCTATGGTAACCGTGCTGAGGCGTCGTCGGTTTTTTTTTTGCAGCCATGTCGTGCGATTGCAAGCTATGCATTTGTGTGGGTTCACTAGATCGCCAAGTATTTGATAAATCACTCAAATTGTTGTAACTATATTCTGTGGCTAAGTGACAAAGTGTGTTGGCTTTGATTTGGAAAATGCAATACTACTACATTAAAAAAAAATTAATGCTTGTTTGGCCGAATTTCTGCTATGTGCCTAAATGAGACACCTTTTAACTCCAGAAATAAACTCTTATGTTCTGCCATTGCTTGGATTGGAGGTGGACTTTAGAGAAAAAAATTATAGTTTAAAACAACTAAAACTACGGTTGGTCTGACATTTTGATCTTTTTTGGTTTTTTTCTATTGGTTCCTAATTTTTTCAATCTTCATTTCCTATTGTTTTTTGTCT